AACGTCTCAATAGCTTAATCAACACAAGAATAAGGTGTCAATACACCAAGTACAATTAACTTAAGCTATAACACAAGATAATAATGAATACATAACCTTAAGTATAGAACAATGTAAAACCCTAGTCTTCACTTTTCTGCAACAAAGAGCGATAAAATTGTCAAAACACAATGCAGCTTCAATTGATGCTCAAATTAGGTTCCCACAGTCTTGTCTCAGCCAAATAAGCTTGCTCAAATCAATCTTGGACAATGAACAACAAGATACACAATAGATTGTTGCATATAAGGCTTCAAAACCCTAATCAAAGGTATATCTATCAAATCCCCCTGTAGCCTTACCACTGACTTTTCTTCTATTTCCACAGCCTTAATATCACAATACAAACTTGTTCAATAGGTTACAACAATGAATGGAGCAAAGAATAATAATCTCAGTTCACAATAGGCTTGGAACATAATAACCCATGGTCTTCAAACTAGCAAGGGTAAATCTGTCAAACCACATGAAACTTGTGCTAATTTAGGTTCTCACAGCTTTATATAATCAATATACACTTGCACATAAAATGTTCCCAATTAGCAAAGCAAGATTAGACCAATGTAGCATACATTTAGTAACAAAATAGTTCACTGCAAGGTCAATTTTGGTGCTACTGTAATGCCTCCACTCTGAGGGTAAAAATGGTATTCTGCAAGGTCTCAGGCCTGAAAAACACTCTCATAACCTTGGATTATGTTCACACAGAATCCCAGATGTCAAGCATATCAAGGTATATATAAATTTAAGCCCCTAAAATTGTTCTCAGTTAGTTTCTACAAAAAACTGTTGTCTAAGGATAAATCTGTAATTTCGTGGCTGCACAGTCCTTAAATCAATTTCTTTAAACTTGAATCACATATACAAACTTGCTCAACTGATGGTCAGTAATTATATAACAAATTATTTCATTGATTATTCACAACTCAAGTTTTGTCACTTAATAGGCCTAAAACCCTAACAAATGAGGTTTATAAGGCCAAACATATAACTGATCTTATTTCTGGTAAATCATGAACTTTAATAGCCTTTAATTAATTATGGAAACTTGCTAGAATGATTAACAGGTGGCTCATAGCAAGATACAACCACAATGTACTCAGATTAAGAGGCTAAACTAGAAAAACATATTTAACAAATGTTAGAGATATGAAATCTTACTTCAGCTCAACTTTGTACAAGTGAGCACCTTTTGCAGATATAAACAACTCAAACACACTTACTTGAACCTTATTCCAGCCTCAGAAACAGCCCCAACTTATTTTCACCTTCTGCAGCCTCTCATTTGCACCAGAAAATCAATTTCACAGGTTCATTTAATCTTCAGTGAATCAATGCACTTCTCATGATGATTTCAGAGTTTAAATTTAGCTCAGACCCTTGTTTAATCTCTCTGAAATTCACTCAATATCTTAAATCTCGAGTTTCTCATACATAGTTGCTCAAATGTAGCTCATAAGGCCTACAATCTGTGCACACACACTGCAGCCAATATAACAATATATTTATACTGACATTTTGCTGCCCTAGTGTAGATAAGATTAAGTCACCAGCAACCAATCTTTTGAAAATAAATATTAAGATATTTTAGTGATGATTGGACCGTAATACCCCTTTTGGATAGCACACCGAGTCCCTTTAATGGCATTCTCATTCACAGCTTACATGTACACATATGACAGACCTGTAATTCTTTTGCTTAGAGACAAAGCAAGATTGATATAATATTCTCTCTGAAGGACCACTGTGCATGTGTCATTAGTACAACCATTATACAGCTTGTGAACATAATTGTACATGAACTTCTAGAAATGCCCTTTGATTTACACTTGTTGTGCATACAAAAGAATTGGTAATTCTCAGCATAATTGATACAATGTACCTTCACACAAGGGATTTAAATTATCTCTGTCAACTGAATTGATACAATGTACCTTCACACAAGGATGTAAGTAAGATACTTGAAATACCCTTGCTGAGACCACATGTCACTTAGACCAAAACTGTTTGCAGCAGCCTATTGAAAATTCAATTCAGCCCTTATATAATCTCTGTAATGTAATATAGCACCAAAACAAGTGAAAAAAGATTGTTTCCATATGTAGAAAGACTAATATATCCTTGTAAGTAAAAGATCATACTTCAAAGCCTTTAGCCTTTAAGACTTGTATGTGTCATTCAAAGAGTAAACCACAATAGAGCCAACAATAGGTTACTTGTTAATCACTCACCTACCCCCAAACCTTCTCCTATATATAGGATATTTATGTAATCTTTATTAATACAATACAATACAATATAATATTTTTTCCATTCCTTTATTTATGCAAATTTTATTAAGTTAAAAATACTAGTTTAAATGAATGCACCTCTAACACTTATATACTTTATTTATTTTCTTACTTTATAAAACTATTTTCTGTAGATACAACGAAGCAGATTTATAAGTTTTTGTCCTCTGGAAATTGATTTGTAATTTTCCCAACTAAACAGTTTTTCAACTTGAAAAAACTGAAAATTGTTTTCTGTTTTGATTGTTTGAAAAATGTTATTAAAAACAATTTTATAGTTGCAATCCAAGCGAGGCCCAAGCATTTCCCTTTTATGCTTTCATTTCTTCTCATCCACCAAACAATGTTCAAGGTTTTGTAAATTGCCCGTGTTGTGTAAAATAGGGTTTTCTTTCTCACACTCACAACCATATATTCAGACATAACAATCAATAGGTTTTACCATCTTAATTAGCAGTGGCACTTATATATATTTTTTAAATATTACTTGGATCAAATTTGGATGCTTTTTCTACTAAAATAGTTATGCTTAGTTCAGTAGGGAAAACAAAAAATGGATAGAAGGGATAGATGGACATGACTAGAGAAGAGATATCGTTATTTCCTTTTTTTGTTCGGTTGGACAGAAGAAAAAAGAAAAAACTAACAATTTATATAATTCGGTTGGAGAGAAGGGGAGAGAGAGTGAAAATTGACTATTTATTTAATTTGGTTGGAAAGAAGGGAAGAGAGAGTTTTAAATTATTTTTACCAATTAAACCCATCACTTACTTTATTTGTGAATTTTTTTAAAACTTTATGAAGGATGATACTATACTTTAAAACTTTCATAATAGGCCTACTTGTCTTTCCTCATCTCTTCGTCCATATTTGAAGGGATCATTCATCCTTCCTGTTATCATCTCTCTCCTTATATCATCTCTATTAAACCAAGGAAATTTGTTTATTCATTCCTATCTTTCTTCCACGCCAACTCCTTCCTTTCTACCGAACAAAACATAAACTAAAAAATAAAAATAGATTGAAAATAATTATTACCAGACATGTTTTTTATTTTTGGCTACCAATTCTTTTTGTTTTGGCAACTTGAACGCTATTAAACATGTTTTCAATGTAACAACAACAACAACAACCAAAAAAAAAAAAAAAATCGCGTTTTCATTTTTTCCTTCCAAACTTTTTGCAACAGTGTAACCTGTGCTTTTAGTAACGTGTTTGTTTTCTGTTTTTGCAGTCTTAAGAAAGCAAAAACATGATTTTTAACACTTGTTGTTGCCACAAATTTGATAACATAAAACAATAATGTTTAGTAATACATATTTGTTACAAAATGTACATAATATTCTTAAAATTTTTTATTTTAGTTTTTTCATTTGTATATATTTTTTTCATGGCAATAATTTTAGGGATTAGTAATTAGAGGGGATGGGGAGGAGGGATGACTTGAACACAGACTCTCAGATACGGGCCCGACCACTCAGGCACGACACTTACTTCCATTAGTATCAAAAAGTCATAAATCTATAAAATCCAATTTAAAATTACCAATCTTAATAATTCCCAATACATTATAAGTACAAAATTAGATATACCAAGACAAAAACACTCCCACCAATTATATATATAAATACATGTATATGCATGATGTATACATTTATTATGTGATATATAATATATTTAGCATATGGTAATTTATTATGAATAACAAATGTTAAATAACATATCTTATATGTAATAAAATATTGTGTTATAACATTGTAAATTAATTATAATTTACTATTTACATATAATATAATATAGATATGGTATATAATAATATAAAATATCTACTTCATAATAATTTAATAACATTATATTCTATATTAAGTATGATTTTGTCACAAAAAATAATTTACATTATTATTTAATATATTATATATTAAAATATATTTTTATCAAATAGAAAATAATGTACACTATTTAATATATTGTATATTAAAAAATATATTTTTATTAACATTTAAAATGCAGCTTAGTATATAACATAAATAATATGAATTTTATTTGAAATGAATAGTGCCCGTGTAGTAACAATAGTGAAAACGTTTTTGCACTACAGTGCCGAAAACATAAGAAACATCTTTTTCATGTTTCATCTTTTTTTCACAAAAATTAAAAACGTTTTTTGTTATAGAAAAAAAAAAAAAAAAAAAAACATATTATTGAACGCTGTTTTTGTTTTCATTTTACCTTTTTAGGGATTGACGACAGAAAATAAGAAACGTTTTTCGTTAATAAATAAAGTCTTCAAATACGTTTTAATGTTTTTACCTCTAAAATTAATGCAACAAATTTTATGCTACCAAAATGTTTCTAGTTTCAAATAATCACATTTCACAACAAAATTTTTTGTTTTCGAGTTAAAACCGAAATGGTTGCAAAATGGGCCGGAAGTTGGGAAGAGCATGGCCGCCAAACAGTGAACAGGTCGATTGCTATCTATGGGCTACAAATACAATTAGCAAGCCCGTAGCCAGCAGGCCTAGACACTCTGGTTCTAGGCATTAGACCAGCCCAAGCCAACCAGACCCATTTCTCAAAATCGCAGCCTTTGGAACCAAATCTCAACCGTTCATCGCTAAACTATACATACAAGCATTGTATTAGTGGCAGTATAAAATAAGATAATTATAGGGTTTGGTTCCGGGTGCACCCTTCTCTCTCTCTCGCTCTTCCCTTGCTGTGCAGAGAAAACCCTATATATATATATATCTATACATTCTCTGCACGAACAGAGAGATTCTTGAGCACCCGAGAGGCAAAATCCATTTCAGTTTTCGTATGCATATGTATTCAGCTGGTTTGAGGTTCAATTAGAAGAATTCGAGCCGAGTAAGAGGGAAAAAGAGGTATTTTTCTCGATTAATCAATCTCATCTCTAAGTTGATTTCATGTATTTTTCAGATACGTATCGTGTTTATGCTTAAAATTAGCTTTCATTTTTTGTGCTTTGGATGTTCTTATCACTCAAATCAGTCGATCAATCGTCAGTCAAGGACCATAGGATACACCGACTCGTACGGTTACGGTTACGGTTAGGGTTAGGGTTAACAATGTTTTCTTGTTATTGTTTTGATGCAAGCTTTCATCTTATTGGTTAATTGGGTAAGAAGTGGGGTGATTTCCTTCTAACACTGCAGCAAATAAATTAATATACTGAAGATATGATGTTTATTCCTTTTTGATTTTCCTTTTTCAGCTTGATCCGTTGGTTATAGGTTTTTTTACTGTAAACAATCTATGATGGATTATTTTTCGGAGCTGTTCTTGGACTGTTGTTAATTGTATGGGTGTTCTTCTCTTGTTGTTTCATTGAACTATTTCCCTTTTTAATGATTACTACATCTTTTGATCTTCCTCTTGTTAGGCTTGCGTGAAACCCATGTAACCTCTGCGTTGCTGCTCATTTTTCACCTGCACAAATCCCATTTATGCCATCTGTTGCCAAAAGATGTGTTGTGTAATGGTTATTAAAGATGTGTTGTTTACAGTTTTTGTGAGTAATGGGAGTCTAATGGTTATTATAGAGGGCTTCGGCTAAGAGTTAGATTTTCATTTGTATGATTGTGTTGTTTATCTTTTGCGGGTCATCTCATTTATCTGTCCAAATAACTCTCCTCATACTTTCACTCTCTTTTATATTCTGTAGAGCATTTCATTTAGAACCCAAACACTCATTTTATTAAGGCGAATGAAGTAGATGTTTTTTAAGAAACATTAGTTCATTCCGAAGCGCTCCCTTTTTGAGCATCTTTATTGAAATCTTACTTATTAAAAAGAAAAGATAAGAAACATGAGTTCGTTCCTTTTTTTTTTTTTTTTTCTTTATTTAGTTTTTTTTGTCAAGTTAAACCGAGCACCCATGATGTAGTAGTATAGATGAACGTGAGAATAAGGGATCAGCCAATACTAATATTATGATTTGAGACATCCCGCAATATTTTAACCCATGTTGTTTATCTTTTGCGGGTCATCTCATTTATCTGTCCAAATAACTCTCCTCATACTTTCACTCTCTTTTATATTCTGTAGAGCATTTCATTTAGAACCCAAACACTCATTTTATTAAGGCGAATGAAGTAGATGTTTTTTAAGAAACACTAGTTCATTCCTTTTGGAAGCGCTCCCTTTTTGAGCATCTTTATTGAAATCTTACTTATTAAAAAGAAAAGAGAAGAAACATGAGTTCGTTCCTTTTTTTTTTTTTTTCTTTATTTACTTATTTTTGTCAAGTTAAACCGAGCACCCATGATGTAGTAGTATAGATGAACGTGAGAATAAGGGATCAGCCAATACTAATATTATGATTTGAGACATCCCACAATATTTTAACCCATACCATTAATGGGAGAATTAATGGGATGATATATATATATATATATATATATATATATATATATATATATAGATGTTGTACTTGTACCGTGTTACTTGGGCTTAGTATGGATTTTAGATGCAAAAGCATGTATTGGTCTCAATTATACTAGTTCCTAAAATTTTGGATGCATGAACATGGATAAAGTGCCAAAGATTGTGAAATAAGTGTGGGCACTTGTTTGAAAGACAAATAAAGAAGAAATATATTATTGAACAAATATTGATAAAGTTACTTTTTGCATTGATAAAAAATAAAAGCAAACACAATCATCAAGGTCTCATGTAATTTCTTACAATGACTGTTGCCGAGGGTTTAAACCCTAACATGTTGGTGACAGAACTCATTGGTGATAAACCATTGACTGTATTGCAGAGGGTTGAAATCCTAACATGTTTGTGACAAAACTCATTGGTGATAAACCATTCATGAAAATTTATGCTGAGGTTTTTCATCTCTTACGGAGATGATTGTGAGAATTGAATCTCTAACAAACCATCTTGGTTCTGGTAGGATAAAGCTAAGGACAAAATTAGTATTTTTCTTTTCCTTCCCCTAATTCTCTCTCTTCCCCTTCACTAGTTCAAATGTAGGGGTATAATAATCGCGTCCTACCTATATATGTTTCCTTTGTGTTGGCACTGGTACTATCACTCGATGCCATCATGTTGTAATCACTGTTACTAAATGAAGCTCTCCAACAAATGGAGTGCATCTAGCCCAAGACCTAAAATGAGCTCAAATAATAAAGTTTATAGGCAAAATGTCCAGCTTATAGGACTTGCATGTTGTCAACACCAAATTGCTTAGTGAGGTTATAACGTTTCTTCCCTGATGAACATGTACCAGTTGAATAGGTCAATTAAAATTTCTACTTAGTCTTGTTTACCTACTGGAAAATATATGGTTCTAAATATGTTCTTTCACATTTCTTATTTCTGGACTGAGAGCTCACCCTTTTGGTTCTTTTTTTTTCCCCCCCTCAAAGTAAATTTTAATATTTGATATGGGAGATTTAGTTTCTGGGATAATTTGTAATCCTTTTAAAATTGATGGTTGCATGCACTGAACTCCTATATAATTTTCTCTTTACTCCAGTACTGGGGCTAGGTTTCTACACGAACAGTATTAGGACAAGTTGAGTTATTAGCAGAGAAGTTATTTGTACTGATGAAGTTATGAAGTTCTCTTATATTGGTGCCTAACCTTCTGGGTCTTGGGCAAGTCTGCCCTTTATGTTTGTTTACTCTTGTGCTTGCCTGCTGAAACAGTGTTTGATGGTGTTAACAGTGAACTTTTATTATTATTGCTTGCCATTAGTCTAGGGACTGCACAGGGTTTTGCATTTGCCTTGATAGTGTTAAGTTAGTATAAATTGTGTGAATGTGCTTACGGTTATAGTTTCAACAGCTTGTTGATTCAATCTAATTGTTGTTTCATATGGAGAGTTTAGACTCTCTTCCCGGCTAAATTGAAGACTAGAGCAACATGATAAGAGTGTTGATATATAAAAATGGGTTCAGTAAATAATAGTTTATGGTTCTGCATGATGTAGGTCAATACTATAATTGTTAAAATAATACATTATACAATGGGTTTTCTGGTGGGAGAGCTTATCCAAAGCTTTAACTTTCATTCTTCATAATTCATTTGGTAAATGAGGTGTCAATACTGGAAGGGATTGTAAATCCATAGTGGAGTTTGTAGATCTTTTGGGTTAGTTGAGGGTTTAGAAGCCCTATATGGCCTTTTGTAGCTTTTGAGGCATGCGTTCCCCTTTTGAATGCTCTTTATACAATCTTTACTTATCAAAAAAAAAAGATTGATGGAAGAGAAGATGGGAAGGAATGAAATACCCCTAGGGAAGAGAAGGTGTTCTCTCTTTATCTTTGGTTGAGAGGAAGGGAGTAGAAGGATATGACACCTTCTCTTGTTTGGTAAGAGGGAAGGGAATGAAGTATTTTAATATATTTTTACACCATACCCTCATTATATAATTTTTCAAAAATTGACGAGGGTTAATAACGTCAATTTACATAATATACCATACTTATCATTCTCTTCCATCCTCTCTTCCGTCCATATTTTGAGGGATGAAAATGGTTTGTCTGGAGGGATGCCTGATCCATGCATCCTTCCCTTCTCTCTAACTTTCCCTTGTACCAAATGATGGAAACTTGCTCCATCCCTCCTCTATTCTCTTCTACCAAACACAACATTAAATGAAGAGAGGTGTCATGAAAACATGCCGAGTTTTGGATTTTGTATCACGCACTGATATCACCTGTTGGGTACACCAACCTTCATTACAACTAACTTGAGAATCACTTTTTTCTTGCATGCATGTATTTGTGTGTAGTTTTCTGTGCTTCTCTTAAACCTTCAAGGACTATGACTATAAAATTGAAAATAGTGTATAACTTGGTCTAGTAAGACTATATTACTATAACTATTAGTAAAACCCATGTCCATCAAACCCTGCATTTCTCTGCAGCATATCAGCTCTGTATTCTGTAACCTATTCAAGCACTATATGCTCTTTATTTCATCTTTAATTGGCTGTATTTTTCATTTTGATGGAGAAATAGACTGTATTTGCATCTCTCATATATTTATCGTACCAATCATACATATATATATACGTATACACTGCCTGTTTGTCTTTTCTGTTCCCTGTTTTGAGTAAAAATAAACCTTAATCAAAAGCCTTTTACTTATGGGTGGTGGTTTAACATATTCTTTTCTCCATGGATGAAAGTCTTGCATCTTATGTTATATCACCTGTAGACTGTAAAAACATCTTAACATGAGCTGTTCTGATTCATATTTTTGCTTAGTAAGTGCAGTTGGAGATTGTTACAGCTAGTTTAAAAGGTGCCAAACTGGAGTGCAGCAGTTGGTGGTAACTGATATCAACATACTTTCTGGTATTTCTTTTTCGGGCTTCCTAGCTCCTTAAAGATTATTATGACTGAACAGACAAGTATTCGGCTTATTACCTACTCGCAAGAGATTATAAATGGAGAGCCGATCTATGCTTCCTCGAATTGCCTTCCAATCAAAGGTTTCAAATATGAACCTGCTGGGCATTCTTTTCATTCTGCTGCTCTTAAGCTCCTTGGTTGTTCTGAGGAAGAAGATGAAGATGATGAGCAGAATGTGCCCATCGTTAAGGAGCAGACATATATGCCATCATCAGATTCATATAGCAGCAAAGGTAAAAAGAAATCTGGTGCTGAAGGGCAGCAGCAGGATCACTACGCTTTATTGGGTTTGAGCCATTTAAGGTATCTTGCTACTGAGGAACAGATAAGGAAGTGCTATCGTGAGACTGCTTTAAAGCATCATCCTGATAAACAGGCTGCTCTTCTTCTTGCTGAGGAAACAGAAGCTGCAAAACAGGCAAAGAAAGATGAAATAGAGAATAATTTTAAGGCCATTCAAGAAGCATACGAGGTGTTGATTGATCCTGTGAGGAGGAGAATATATGACTCCACAGATGAATTTGATGATGAAATCCCCACTGACTGTGCTCCACAAGAATTCTTCAGGGTATTTGGTCCAGCATTTACAAGGAATGGACGATGGTCAGTTAACCAACCTGTCCCTTCTTTAGGAGATGAGAGCACTCCACTAAAAGAAGTGGATAGTTTTTATAATTTTTGGTACAGCTTTAAAAGCTGGAGGGAGTTCCCACATGCAGATGAGTTTGATCTTGAGCAAGCTGAATCCCGTGACCACAAGAGATGGATGGAAAGACAGAATGCTAAGCTAACAGAGAAGGCTAGGAAGGAGGAATCCATACGGGTACGTGCTCTTGTTGACAGTGCTTATAAAAGAGATCCTAGAATTCTAAAAAGAAAGGAGAACGAGAAAGCTGAGAAGCAGAGGAAAAAGGAGGCCAAATATCTGGCAAAGAAGTTACAGGAAGAAGAGGAAAAACGTGCTGCCGAAGAGGAAATACAGCGGAAAAAAGAGGAGGAAAAACGAGCTGCTGAAGCTGCTTTACAGCAGAAGAAGGTGAAGGAGAAAGAGAAGAAGCTATTGCGCAAGGAGCGAACCCGTCTTCGGACACTTTCAGCACCTGTTGTATCGAAGCATCTGCTTGATCTTACTGAGGATGATGTGGAAAGTCTTTGCATGTCATTTGAAATCGAGCAGCTGAGGAATTTATGCACCAAGATTGAGGGAAAAGAAGGGCTAGAGCAAGCAAAATATCTCCGAGAAGCATTGGGACGTAAGCTAAACTTCGAGGAGGAGAAACTAGATGAGAAGAAAAATCCAAAGCAAAATGGTTCTGTAGAGGTTAATGGAAGTGTTCAATTAAGCAGCTATGAGAAAAGGGAGAAACCTTGGGCCAGAGAAGAGATTGAGATGTTGAGAAAAGGGATGCAGAAATATCCTAAAGGAACCTCACGGAGGTGGGAAGTTATCTCAGAGTACATTGGTACGGGAAGGTCGGTTGAAGAGATTCTGAAGGCGACCAAAACGGTTCTTCTCCAGAAGCCTGATTCCGCCAAAGCTTTCGACTCATTCCTTGAGAAGAGAAAGCCGGCAGTGTCCATCGCATCTCCTCTTACAACTAGAGAGGAAGTAAAAGGGGTGTCCACGAGTAATGAGCCTGAAAGCGATACTGCTGCTAAGGCGGATGATGTGAAGGAGTCTTCCAGTCAAAGTGCAAAGAGCCAAAACTCGGAGGATGCAACCGCAGCTGCTGCAAATGGGGTTTCTTTGAGTTCAGACCAAGACGTGTGGTCTGCTGTTCAAGAGAAAGCACTGGTTCAAGCTCTAAAAACCTTCCCAAAGGAAACCAGTCAACGTTGGGAACGTGTTGCAACCGCAGTTCCCGGGAAGACTGTTAATCAGTGCAGGAAGAAGTTTGCATTGCTGAAGGAGAACTTCAGGAACAAGAAAAGTGCGGTTTAGTTTGTCGCCCTTGCCTCTGCTGGTGCTCAAAGCTGACAAATGTGATCAAGATTGTATGTCACTCATGGTTTCGGTTCGGTTCGATTCGATTCTTTCTCCTCCTCCAAGACATAAAAAGGTAATGCTACACTACACCCCACGGGAGCCTTTTTTTGACCGGTTTGGGCCATCACTGTTATTTGTTAGTACGCCATACTGATTATATATCTAATATTTTTGTAGAGAGGGCAGTAGTGAATTGATAATATTGGAAGAAATTCTCATCAATTCTCATCTTTTGCACTCAATTATTTTTGTTTTCTCTTAAGTTAATGTTTTTATATTGAAGTATCTGAATTATATATGTCTATCGAGGGAACAGGTACTTTAAAATTCTGTTTATTATCAACTGAGAGTTTAAAGATGTCTTGGATTAATTTATGTTTCCTGATTCAGTTGATTCTGAACCGTTGATATTTTTGGGATTGCACCAGTTATTGATTGGAGTTTCATTTCACAACATTTTCAATTGTACTTTGAATTGTCACTAATTTTGCGTCAAAATCAGACTATTTAGTTTGAAATATTCAGTGTGTTACAACACCGTTTTCAGTAAATAACCGATACCCGACACTTGATTCGAAACCGTACTTAAGAATTTTCACTATTTTTAACTATTTTGATTTTTCACTATTTTTAACTATTTTGATTTTCACTAATTTGAAGATTAACCAATTTTCATTTTATTTTTCACCAATTTTACTTTGAATATGTTTCCAGTTTTAGTTAAAATTTCTGCTATTGTGTTGCTTTGATTGTTTGACGGATAAAGATCCAGTTGTACGGTACCTATACATGAGAGGAGATGCTACAAGGAGAAAAACTTTCATGGTTTGTAACTTTGTTTGGTTCATCTTTGAAAACTGTTTTATGAAAATTCAGTAATAAAAATGTTTGTATTCAAATAATTGTATTTTATTGTTTTCTGAAAATTATGCTCTAGAGGTACAAACCAAGCAAGCTCTTAGTTATTAAAAGTCCTGAATTATTGAGAATTGTTTTCAGAGTTACAGATCAAGCAAGCCCTTCTCGCAGGTAAAAATTTATCATTTTTATTAGGCAAAAAAAAAGTAGATTTTAATGATAAAAAAATAAATAAATTGCTTTATAGTGAGATAAATTTAATGGTTACCAAACTTGACAAATTGCTTATAGCGAGAAAAAAAAATGAATGGTTACCAAACTTAAAAAAATTTGAAAATTTGTGATCAATTGAGATAATTTGGTTAAAACACATACTTGATTATTACACAGTTCCATATGTTTTAAAATAAAATAAAGTAATTGAAATTTGTGAAGATGACTAAAAAGAAGAGTTCCTTCACTCTCAAAAGGAAAAACAAGGGAAGAAACAACTAAAAGCGTTCCTAGAGAGAGAAGCTTCTTACTGAATTATTCCGACTCCATGCCATAAATTCAAAATGATCTACACCACACAATAAGCAACACATTCTGTTAGATACTCGTATTACCCGAAAAGAAGTAGGAGTTTTTTAATTTTATTTTTTCCCAACACATTGAGATAGATTTAAAGAGGACAAAAATCTCCAAAAATGGACGTCTTCAAACAATATTTACAAAGGAAAAACCTTCAAAATAAACATCAAAATAGGTAAAAAACTGTTTTTCAAAACATTTTTCATTGTTTTTAAGGAACTATTTTCAATAGTCTCCGCACATTTAATATCTTAATTGATCTAAAAATAGTCAATCTCAAAATTTGAGGCCCTTTGGGTTGCGGTTTCGGGCCTTTGGGTCGCTGTTGCGGGCCTTTCAAAACATTTTTCATTGTTAGATATATATACATACACACATGAACAAGGAAGGGACCCTTTGGGTCGCGGTTCCGGGCCTCCGGCAGCATTTTGTTTTAGGGTTTTCTGAATAAAATTGACCTTATTTGTTATTAAATAAATTTTTATTTAATAACAAATAAAAAGAAAAAGCTTTTTATTTTTATATTTACAATAAAATTAGGTCAATTTTATTTTTTTGTATTAATAAAAACAAAATTATAATTGGAAGTACATTAAAAATTAATAACCCTTTCGAAAAAAAAATTATTAATGAATTAAAAATTTCTCTAAATAATCGATATTTTACAGTTTCTTTTTCATTTTCTGTTTATGATCAATTTATTTCCTCTAAGCCTTTTTTGTATAGGTGTTGTTAATGAATCATTTCTTTTTCATATTTCTGCGTAAGAATTTTTTTTTTTTTTTTTTTTTTGAATGGGTCAAAAACAATCAGGTTGACCCGTTCACAAATAAAAAATTAATTTTATCAGTAAAAAAATACAATAATTTTATCAATTTTATATTATGGTGTTTGTATAGGATAAAGGTTTTGATTCGATGATGAATAAGGATTTGGGAAAAGTATTTATAAACATTATTTCCACAGTTAACAGTAATTTCACATTCATCTACAGTTGCATGTTGCAATAAAAAACCGGCCTTCGAGGGTTCAAATCCTCGCGCGCACAACTATAATAAAATTTTCATGTTTTCAAACATGGAAAAGAAAATTGTAATTTGCATATTTGTAAATAAAAAAAAAGAAAAAGAAAAGAAGAAAGACCCGTGAAACTCGCTCAAAATATTCGGGTTGGGTTATGTCCATAACTCATTTTATGTAAAATTCAGGCTGCCCAACCTAACCCAATTTCGGGTTAAGGTTGAGTTGGGACTGGGTTGGGTCAGCCCAACTTGCACGGCAACAAATCCCAGAAGCACATCAACAAATCCTAACCAATTGGGTTCCATTCTCGTGAGAATGAGAACCAATTATTGCTATAATAGTAATAATGATCACGAGAAGCAATAAGGAGCAACCCCATATTATAACTCTCCCCTGAAAATGAAATACAAACAGATAATGAAGCTAAAGAGAAAAATATATGTTATAAATATGATAAATTTCAATCAATTAATATGCTCATCTTTTAGTATCATACTTAGCAAACACATACAGAAAGCCTGTTTCCAATACTACACCACATACATAGATAACAAATAATCCCCAATGAAGATGAACCCAGGGTAGTGAATACACTGTCCACAATGCGCAATTCAGCCAAACTCCTAGATAAGGAAGTGTGCTCAATTGTTGGATTGCTACTTTCTTTTTTACTACGCCCCGCATGATTTTTCTGTATATATATATATATCCATGTACATTAAATTAGTTAATTACACCTTAATTTGAATTTCCATTCATAATCATCAATTTGTATGAAAAGAAATTAATATAAAATCAATATAGCAGTTGAAAGAGAGATATTGAGAAGTTACCCAAGCGAGACGAAAAGGAGACAAAATGCAATGTACCCTGCAAAAAAAAAAAAAAAAAAATAAAAAAATAATAATAATAATAATAATAATAATGGCAATTGGAAGGATCCATACTCTAAATAATTTTGTCATAAAAAATTGTTGTCTTTTTATTATAGTATTTTGTTGGAGCACAAATATTAACTCCAAAAAAAAAAAAAAAAAATTAAATGCAAGATATATAACACACATTTCACGTAAAAAATCGATAACAAAATAGAATTATAAAACTATACCATGTGCACATCATAGTATATATATGTGTGTGTGTGTGTGTGTGTGTAACTAATGTGGATCTATATGGTATGCACTATGTACATACTAAAAGCACCAACCACTTTGTGTGTTGTTTCAATAGTTGAGCTCGCCATCTTTCAAAGCCTAAAGAGAATGTTGAAACAAGAAGAAGATTGATAGTATGCAGAGAGAAAGCATGAAACAAAGAGAGATATGATACAGAAGACGTTTTAATACCATACCATGTTTACTCTCATGTTTACTGATTGATAATGTATAAAACTTGTCAATTTTAACTTTTTGTTGTGAGTTTTAGCTATTTTTAAGAATACCTTTACAACAAACCTAAAAAAGGTCAAGGAAGTTTTATACATTTTGTCAATAATTAAGGTTATAAAGCAAACTTTATGTCATCCTTATAATTATAGGAGTAACTGAAATGTGTACTAATTCACTCATGATAAGTGGTGGTTAACATGGACTAGTACTGTAATTTCGCATTTACAACTCATACTAGTTCCCTAATTCCATTTCAACCGAACAATAATTATGTTACTTTGATAATATTTAATCTTATTTTGAAAGGGACAATATAGATGTCCTTGTGTGACAAAAAAGAAATAGATTATTAACAAGTATACTTCAATAAAGAAGATGAGTATTTCAATTCCCACTAAGGAGGAAAAGGTATTTGGCGTGCCCTATGCATTGTACACCGGACACATCAGAATCATCCGTGCACAATACACGTGACGCGTGCATAACACACACGAAACAAACAGCTCTGACAGATTGGTACAAAGTGCACCAGGCATACCGAATACATTCTCCATTAAGACCCACGTGAACTTAACATTTCACTTTTATTGTCCATGAGTGTTTGTTTAAATGACCCTATTGAAGTCACATGACAGGTGCATAACAAGTTAAGAGACTAATTACACACATAATTACAGTTCACACGGTAGAGGCAAAAATGTCATGGCTAAATTTGGTGTACATGAAGATGGAAAGTGATGGTGATTGATTTTTGGAGGTGTTTTGGATCTCGCAAGATGATTCAAAAGTCCAATAGGCAAAAAATGAAAAGTGTGCTTAAGCACCCTTGAAGTATTCTGGACCTGCTTCATTATTTTGGGCATAACTTTTTACTTAAAGCTTCAAATTGGGTAAAATAAGCGGCTATAGAAAGAAGACACGACAACTGTCGTTTTTGTGTCTAATAGCAATTTCAAGATTCGGAATCAAAATAAGTCAAAATAGCGTTACAAAACTGCATGTTGGATAGGGTGATCGATCACCCTATTCATGGTGATCGAACACTGTTTAGGGTGATCGATCAAAAACTAATACAAAATAGAATCCAATGTATATACCAAAATAAACCAATCAAATTCATTAAGCAACACAGAATATACCTCATCACTGTTGTATAACATCCAAAATATACAATTCATTGCAGTCGCCAGATAAAAGTAGGACTTGAATTGCTTGACGGCTTGATCACTGGAGATTGAAATCATTGCGACTCTGCAAATAACGTTTCAGTAACTTACAGATGCAATCATGTATATATAGAGAGGTACATACATATAAAAAAGTCCATTCGTAAATAATGAAAAAAAAAAAGAGGTCATATACATTGGCGCAAGGAAGAGAAGGAAAGATGTGATGTTTCCTGCAAAAATATACATCAATGTAAAAATCGTTATATAGTAGAAGCACAAGTGAATCGAACAATTAATCAGACCAGTTGAAAAGTAGCAACTCTATCTAAAAATCATTATCAACAGTTTACCAAATTAAATAATA